GATAAAAAATGGCGGCTCTTTGGTTGTGTGGTGAGAGGCTGTACGGCACACACCCCAAACGGAGAACGAAGGATTAGCTTGACGTATTCGCTCACTTCTCAGTTATTTGGTCGCGCCTGGTCGAGCTCGCTTGCCAGAATGAATAAAGAAAAACGCTGTGCACCCACTGCTCCCACTCTCTCTCCGTACAACATCGCCCCCCTATGTGAGCACGCATGCGCTGACCTGTGTAGTCGACTTTCGACGGAATAATAACCCTTACAGTTATCACTTCAATTTTCCAAATTTTTAATTAGGTAAAATATGTATTTGTGTTTTTGTGGCGATAAAAAATGTAGCTATTAGGCTCCAGGACTTTGTTGCTTTGGTAATGAAGTTGTGAAATAAGAGAAAAAAACTGTTAAATTCTATATTTTTTGTGTGTTTTAAATCTTTACATCTTTAAAAAAATAGCCTTTTCGTACATTATACGGGAAAAGCTGCAAATCAACAGCCCTTTAGGGCCAACGATTATTCTATGGCAGAAAGAACGCAAGTGCTTTTCAGCATAATTATTTTTTTTTTTTTACTCTGTACAGCGTATTATTTGACTAAGAAGACTGTATGGATTCTGAACAAATATAATTTTAATGAGAAGATACTTGTTCTGAGAAATGTCAAGGATAGATGTTAATTTTTTAACTAAAAACGTTTCACACTACATGTCAACGCACTACGGTGTTCCATTCAGTAAGTCTCGAGCGAAAGACAGGGGGCCGCTAGTATTAAATATTTGTTTTCGTTGATTGGAAATTAGAAATTCCAACTTAGACGTAAAAAGTGTACGCAGGCATCGCGGCTAACTAGCCTGCATGGCGCAATCGCGCCACTTTATTTCTATGAGCAACGAGTGCACATATTTTTATGGTATAGTCCATTAACCGGAGATAAAAAAAATACGATTTAATCTTATGTTATCCAAAAGAGAAAAAAATTAGTCAATTTTCTACATACTTTTCCGAGGAATGCGGGAAAAATAATTTTGTCTAAATCAGAAGTCGGCATCATTTATTTATTTAAAAATTGACAAACAACTGCCAATTTTTTATTGAGTTTTGTTGCTTGTATCTCTGCTTCTATTGCTCTTAGAGGCATTTTACGACTGTCCATCTCATTGTCATCAAATTTCCTATAAATTGGTCACTTTTTTAAGTTCATTATTTATTGGTCATAATACATAAACGGCGAAAGTACGACAAAAATTTTTGTAAACCGAAAAATTTTCGATCGAAAAAAACTATTTTGTGAATATTAATGTAATCGTAAGAAAATATAGATATTAAGTTGCAAAACAAAAAGTTATTTGTACAGTTTTAAAATAATTGTTAGTTTTGTGTTAATTAACTTTTTAATTCGAAACTTTAGAGTGCTATTACAAACTTAAGTTGTTGTACACAGTTATACTATTATAAACATAGTATATTGTATGAAATGAATTTGTTTAGTAGTTTTATAAGAATTTTATCTTTGAATATTTTTTTTGTTTTGACCTAGTATATTTTGATTGTATTACGGAAAAAAACTGATTCACTAAAAATAAATCCTTATTCTTGTTATGTAATGGGCAATTTAAAGTAGACTTATGAATTCTTTTTTTTGTACATTTTCTTCAATAATGGTGTGACTTGCACTGAAGTATGTCAATACTGCTAAGGAAAAAATTGCTGTAATATCGAGCACTTTGAAGTTACAATTGAGCAAGAAAATACATACACGATAATGCATCCAAAGTACTGGACAGTATAAACGAAGAGACTGATACTGATGTTTCTGATACGTTTATGACCGATGATAATACAAGAGTTTGTAGATATTAACTGTATGTATGCTATGATTGATGGTGTAACAGATAGTGAGATAAATGATAGAAGGCCACCTTAAAAGCTAAATATTCATGTATCAAAAATAGCTAAAATTCAATGTACACAAAAACTTTAATGCATATACTTTTTATTGCAATCAGTGCATTTATTATTATTTAATTTTTTAATCAAGCATGTTATGCAACTATATTACTGTACTATGTTTGTAGTTGTATAATTATGTACAACAACTTATTCGAAATTCGAACGCAAGCCGCAGCCCGTGTTTTGCCCCATGCGCACTGCAGCCGTTCGGTCATCTAGTCGCAAGAGAGGGGTACATATGAAATCACAGAGCAACCACCGGCAAATTTTTTGGCAGTGTGATGCATTTATACATAAAGATGATACACAAATTTTTTGCAATAAAAAACTAAATTGTTAGTCCATTATTGCAAAAAACGTCAATTTCTTATATCTTGGCTTCATAGAAAGCTAGATATGCTCTAGCATTCCTTTTTTTAAGTTTTTCTTTTTTTATGACAAATACAATGCCGTTTTTGGAAAAAAGATTTGCAAAATTGGCGGAAATATTTGCAATTATTTAAGTTGCAAAATAGATTTTCCATGAGAAAACGTCAAAATTTACAGAAATCAAAATCTTTCTTTTTTGATATTGTTATTAACATCAAATGAAATGTTTTTACTGAAATAAAATTTCGATTAATCGACCGTAAAGTTTGTGATAACTTTTTAAACCTTTATATTACGAGATTAATCAACACAAAATTAATAATGATTTTGCAATCTTACAAATAGCTTTTTGTTTTGCAACTTAATATCTTAATTTTCTTGCGGTTACATTGTAATTGACATAATAGTTTTTTTTTTACGTCAATCGAAAGTTTTTCGGTATAAAAAGTTTCTTTCACACTTCCTTATCATCGGTGTGTTATTACTAATAAATAATAAATTTAAAAAATGTTCAATTCATAGGAAATTCAATGCCAGAGATTGTTGGTCGTCATATATGCCCCTAAGAGCGATAGAAGTGGAGATATAAGCAAAAAAACTAAGTTAAAAATTGTCATTCGTTCATAACTTATTAAATAAATAAATGATGTCAACTTTTGATTGTGGCAAAACTACATTTCCCGTATTTTTGGGAAAATTCTGGAGGGGTATGGCTAATTTTTTAAGTTATACTTTTATAGGCGCGTTATGCGCGAGGATAAATCAAAGATTTCAGATTTTCACCTTGAGAAAAAGTGTGACGGAAGTGGATTCTCCCCCTTCGCCCCGCCCTTCGTGACGTACTTCCGGCTTCCTCTACACCACATGACGCCAAATCACATTACATCAACACATCACACATTTTCAATTTCATGAATTTTATTTTTTTTGCTTTTAACCAATTCTAAAAAAAAAAGAAAAAAAATTAGTTTCCGCAGAGATTTGAACCGCGACCTTTGGCTCACTGGCTAAGGCCCTTACCCACTCTGCTATGAACAGACCCGATATAGGAAATTTGATTTCTGCATCTTGTGTTAAATTTTTATTTAACATATATTAATTCATTTGGTTTAGTAATATATTAAATTGATACATAATTTACTAAATCGAAAAATTTTTTTTAAAACGTTTTGTCAAAAGACTTGAAAATTAGTACTTTTTAGCAGATCACCTTTCCAATTTATTAATAAATGATTATTCCTATGTATTTAATTTGTTGCATTTACAGTAAATAAACAATTGTTAACACAATTTTTTATATTTTTTCTAATTTTTCAAAAATTAAAAAAAAAATTTTAATACTGTACAACTACAATAATTAATTTTGATTGTGTTTTATTCTTTTACAATTTTTTCATTCGTGATTAAAGTGATTTTTTACTTAATGACTTTCTTCACGCAGTTACTGGGGGAAAACTTCAGAGAAGAGAGAGAAACGCTAATGTGTGCAGTAAAGGTAGCAATTGTTTTTTTTATGTGGATGTACTCACAAACATGTATTTATGCACACTTCATCCTCTTTTTCTTAAATTATTTACAAACCAATATACGTTTGACGTTTGAATAATATCTGTCAAAAAAACATATGTGTGATGAACGTCCTGAAGGGACATTCACTGGCATGTAATACGACTGTATTGAAGAAAGCTATACTACAGGGTGGTTTTTCATAATTTTCTATGTACAATTATATTTTGGGTATTAAATATGGACGAGAAATAAGTGTGGGATCATACGTGATAGATGTGAGCGTGATGTTACAGATGTAATCAGCGTAGGCAGTAGAAAGTTGTTCTGAAATCGCCGGAAGATTCAATGAAAGCTCACAGTCTTGTACTGGCCAGCCTATCTATTATTTTTATTGTATTGTGTCGTAATATATTGTTTATAATCGTTAACTTATTAAATATTAATTAAAATCACACCCAATCAACGTGGGTATACTCATTCCCACAATAATTGCATCACCTTCGTACACAATATTGTTTTATAGAAGGTATTTTTATACTCAAAATTATATTGTTTGCCATGTAATTTTATAGAAGTATAACTTTATACTTGGGTACCCAAGCACCCACTATCCACTGGTTTCTCTACTGGAAAACGTAACATTAAAAAATTCTTCGGGCTGTGAACTAGTAGAAAATATGTATCTTTAGATGCCAAAGTCAGGGTGGAAAAGTAGTATTTTTTGAAATTTAAATTTAAATTTATGATATTGTAAAACACAATTTTCGTTATTTGGTATGTTCTATGACTTTTACATGTGATAATAGGTATTCTTATGTTTTGACGCATAACCACAACATATATATATTTATAAGTTTTTGACACCTCCAACATTTTGCTATGTTACTAGAAGAGGCTGTAGTATAAAAATATCATTCTAATTTCTTTGATATGTAACGATATTTCTAACTTACTTATATCTATTGATGAAACATTTATGAGACAAATTTTTGGAGATAAATAACGCTATTAGATCACTATTGTTTTCTATTAATATTTAATGAGACTGCATCTTTCAGCCTACCCAGAACTTACAAGTGCCATTTATATATTATCTGTAAATATGCATACAAAATTTCTTAAATAATTTATTTAGGTCTCGTAGAAAATAATTAAAAACATGAAATCTAATTACAGCATTCTTCATTCGGCCATTCTACAAAATGATGCTTGGGAAACCGATTGACTTGAAAGATATGGAAAGTGTTGACTCAGAATACTATAATTCATTGCTGTGGATCAAAGAGAATGATCCAAGTGAGCTTGAGCTTACTTTCTGTGTGGACGAGGATTCATTCGGACATACGTCACAGCGTGAGCTGAAGACCAACGGTGCAAACATTCCGGTTATCAATGAAAACAAAGATGAGTACATTAGTTTGGTAATTCAGTGGCGATTTATGTCGCGTGTTCAAGAACAGATGAACTCTTTTCTCGAAGGCTTCAATGCTCTTGTACCACTAGCGCTTGTTAAAATTTTTGACGAGAACGAGCTTGAACTGTTGATGTGTGGCATTCAGCACATCGACGTCAAGGATTGGAAGCAAAACACGCTCTATAAGGGTGACTACCACGCAAATCATATAACAGTCCAGTGGTTCTGGAGAGTCGTCTTATCATTCAACAATGAGATGCGTTCTCGACTTCTTCAGTTCGTCACAGGTACCTCGAGAGTTCCAATGAATGGCTTTAAAGAACTATATGGCAGTAACGGCCCACAGTTATTTACCATTGAAAAATGGGGAATCCCCGAAAATTATCCAAGGGCTCATACTTGGTAAGTCTTTAAGTACTTGCCTTTTTATTTCTGCTACTATACAATTTTATGCCATAAGTCAATCTCAGCCTTCTGAGTAATAAAAAAATTTTTTCTGTTTTAGTTTTAATCGGATCGATCTGCCACCTTATGAAAGTTATCAACAACTTAGGGATAAATTAATAAAGGCAATAGAGGGGTCACAAGGATTCGCGGGGGTAGATTAGCGGGAAATTCCATTTATCATTATGATACCTGTAATATAATGTATATATGTAAACGTATATGCATATTAGATGTTATATTTTTCTCTATATGATACCTTAAGTTTGAAATGAACATTTATTCAGCTATACCTGATTCATATTTTATCTTTAAAAATACGAGGTAGAAAACATTAAATGTTTTAAAGCCCTCAACAAAAATAGCATATAATTAAAGTAAACTACTACCAGAAAATTTAATGATCATTAAATTAGTTTTGTTTTTATGAAAAAATTATATTTATTTGGTATTTACATGCAGAAACATAGCCAAAAATCGTTGCTCATTTGCGTTTAGGAATATTAAAATACCGAGAGATTATATATAAAACATGTATGCACATTTGTATACGTGGAAACATATAAGAGATGCTACTCACTAACTACCGGAGCGTACAAAAATCAGTTTAGAAAAAGTACATCAGAAAAAAACTTTTAAAATCTTATGAGTGGAATAAGATTTTTCTTGTGATATGACATTTTGTATTGAAAAAAAAAGCGCTTAATACATTATTGTCTACATCGAAATTTGTAAATATATTTGTAATGCGCTGAAAAATCTGCTGTTTAACTACGATATTTCATCTATTATTTAGTTTTTATTTTGTAGTATATAACAGTATGTATAAAAAATAGTAATTTCCACTACTTATTTCATATCGCAAGCTATTTTTAATATGAACAAGTATACTCTTTTATGTTTCTTGTAAATACTAAAATTTATTTTCTTTGAAAAATTTAGTAAGGGTTAATAATGCAAGATATTTGATAACATAATTAATATATTTATTTTTACATTAAAATGGTTGCAACTGTTTCGGTATGACATACTTTCCTCTGGCGAGTTTTACGAGTTTTACTATCCGTGTGATATTTGTCTGAGGAAAGTACAGTGTATCGAAATAGCTGTAACCATTTTCTAGTGGAACAAGTCTATACGCAAATTAAATAAGGCTAAGTAGTATAGTTTTGTTTATGATGTACGTTAAAGAAATTACATTTTCTCACCATCTAATGGCACAAAATTCTACAATTTGTAAGCTGGTGACAACACATTTCAATGTAGAGCAAGGTAAAGCAGGTAACAAGAGTTTAGTATGCAAACAAGCAGCAGAAGTATCCATCACATTATTTATAAATTACCGAACTAGCATATTACGTATCAAGGGACTCAAGCAAGCCAGTTTGTGGCTGTTGTAATGTGCGTCTAAGCGTAGCGAGGATTCTACAAGCAACAGACACTCGCTGGCTTGCTATAGTTATATACTGGTATGTATTCACTTTTACATCATACTCAGTGAAAAGTTCGTCACATAAAACGTGTACTACTTATATGCATCTTATAAACATACAAGTTGTAGGGCGCGTTCGAAAATTGCTGTTCATTACTTGGAATTTCCAAAAATGTTCAGAAAATTTAATGGATTATGGAAATAAAAGCGTACTTATTCCGTAATTAGTGAAAGTTTCTTTGTAATTTTGGTGACAAACTGTAGTTTTTGAGAGCGACCATGATATTTTTTTGTTTGTGACGCAAATTTTGCATTTTCTTGAAAAGTTCGAACGCATACGTGTTTATAGTGCACATATAAAAACAAGCCACGTAGCTACGTGTGTGATGATTGATATTTACGAAGCCATTGAGAAAGAAAGCGAGAAAAAGAGACCATTGTTCATTATGTTGTAACGTTTGTGCGTATGTGCGCGCGCGCACGCGTGTGTGTGTGTGTGAGATAAACTAATGTTGAAATACATTTATTATCAGAACATTTGTAAATGAAGAAAATCTTATAACTTAAACTGTTTTTCTTTGTTAGAAAAGACATATTTTTTTGTATAGAGTACACCGAAAACAGGACATTGACTTTTTTTATCTTGCTGATATTTTCTGAATCGTTTGCTTACTAGAGTGTGTATACTGGGATGTAACATGAGCCACTGGAGGGGGTAATAAATTCAACATGGTGCGGAAGAGTCAACGCATATACACGCGCAGCAAAGGACTCGGAGGCTATTTTTCCTCCGTGCTTAAATGTTTAATGACAATGAGGCCCGTGCGTTTTTCTAAACCATATTTACATCAGGGAGCAGCTCCCAGTGCACTTTTTTTATACTCCACAGCTATGTAACTCACGAAAATCTGAAATAAAATACGCAGCTGCTGATAGCTTTCCCGCGTACGCATATATCTACAACAGTGCTCGTATACATATAGGTACAGCACTCTATCAGCAGCTGCGTATTTTATTTCGGATTTTCGTGTGTTACATAGCTTTAAAGCATAGAAAAAATGCACCGGGAGCTGCATCCTGATGTAAATATGGTTTAGAAAAAAGCACGGGCCTCATTGTCATTAAACATTTAAACACGGAGGAAAAATAGCCTCCGAGTTCTATGCTGCGCGTGTATATGCGTTGACTCTTCCGCACCATGTTGAATTTATTACCCCCTCCAGTGGTCCATATTACATCCCAATACGGGAGTGTGGCTGAAGACGCCATTTTCGGGGACGTTTAGATGAGAGAAGTGGTGGAGAGGAAAACACAGATTGACACGAAATACATATACACATCTTTGCTTGGCTTATTTTTCCTAGTTAGTCACGAAAATTACGAAGTCAATCAGTGACTGTCAGACACTTTAACCACACTCCCTTATACCCACTGTATTACTTACTGCAGTGAGACGCCCTTACTATAATCGAGCATTGAACTATTGCAGGCGCTTGCTGGCTTATGTGTATAGTTATAAAGTATAAGGTATACAAACGTGCGTGCATGCACTAATGACGCAATTTTTGTTTCTGTATACAGGAAAGACAGTACGAACTTTACGCTTAGTATGGTATGAAAATACAAATGTCAGTGTATTATTTCCCTTACTTACAGGTTTTAGCTCACTAAATAATACATTCTTTAATAACCCTATACCAAGACATACACAGAGTAATTAAGATCATAATTTTTTTCATACAATGTCTGGTATATCCGTCCATGTAAAACAAAAGATAAATAAATGGGCTGGGGATAGCAAGGTCTGAGTTTCTCACATAATCCATACATTATAATACACATAATCTCTACAAGTTTCAAACTTAAGGTAGTTCATGCCGAAAGTCATTACTTTACCATTTCTGCAGTTTTGGGTATGTGCTCTAAAATTTCTATCTATCAAAACTGAATATTTTATAGGATTATTTTAGCCGAATTTTATTAAGAATATTCGTGATTCAAGTTTGATTTTAAATGTCCTAATCGAGTATTCTTTTCACGAACATATCATAAATTCCGGTGACCGTTTGCACTGAACACGTATATTCAATGAAACATTATATGCTAACAAACGTGTGCTTTGTTTTTGAAGTACGTCAAATAAATGTTACAAATGTTAACACTGCCGTCCCAGGGAAAAAAGTCGTTAAGTGCAATTTATTCAGAACTGAAAAAACTAATTGTTTTCAAATTATGATAAAAGTGGAATATTTTAACCGCAGAAACATCATCTGCTCTGCACTTACGGCCTTTTTTCTTTGTAAGCAAAGCCCCAGCTTAAGTTACTTCCAGAGCAAAAACCTCCTTAAGGTAGTTCACTCAAAAAATTGATTTTCATATAGACTTGATTTTTTTTAGTATGTTATAATTAAGAATTCAACGGATATTGTAATATTTTTTTTTAGGTAGCAAGCGGTACTCGTTTTCAAGATATTCAAGTTCAAAGTTGACACTTTTTACACACGAGTATACGGGAAACACACTTAAGAACTGATATTTCATCTAACTATATAAAAAGTATCTCTTCTAGAAATTTAAAAAACTAGTATGTCACAGTTGAGAAAACAAGAATTAAGATGTGATTTTGTTAAATATAGCAATCGGTACTAGATTTAGAGATATTTTAATCCAAATCACGTAGTTTTTTGCTTCGTTATATGAGCCACGCGAGAGAGAGGCTACAGTTGCTATAGCGCGTTATGCTGACAGATGCATAGAACTCTGATTTTGTCATTCTGCGCAACAAGTGAACAGAAAAAGAGCACAGAGGTTATCAACTAATTCTTGTACGGTTACAAGACAGCATGATCTTTATGCCATTTCGTTGAGTGGAGTACCACTGGGCCGAGTGAACTACCTTAAGTACATAACGACTTTTTATTTTGGAATCTATGCGCTTTCTCGTTGACTTTACAGAGTAAAAAGGGCATTAAGTGGTCTTATTCCTTCTTACCGACGCAAATCCCAAATTTTATGTCACTTACACCCTTTTTTCGGTGTCAGATCAAAGTTTTTCCTAACTTTAGTAACATTCAATAAATTAGTACAAATAATTGAAAAACTGTTCATGATTTTTATAAACACAGTTAGATTGGAAATCACCTTACGAATCGATTAATATAAAAAACTCCATCAAACTGCACTCTAAAATTTTCGCCCAAAATGTCACTTAACGACTTTCTTATCTGGGACGGCAGAACAAACAAGCGATAGTATACCAGAATAATCCATGACCCCTCCTGTTCCTGAATGAAAGGCTTATGTCAAAGAGCAAAAAAAATTGCTATTCGCAACAAACGTTTATGTCTGTTTAACTACAGCTATAAACCACATGATGGCTCTTTGGCTATCGTGCCCGCCTTTTGGATAATAATAGTCGGGGTTCTGATTTTATTCTAGACAAAAATTTTCATAAGTGAAAGTGAGATTTTTCCCCGATGTTAATGAGGCTTCCAAAACAACCTAACATTTTTTAAAACAATTGACTACGCTGATACCTTACACGAGATACTGTCATATGGTTGAATACACAACGTGGTGTTAAAATGCCTATATTTCAGCCTTTTTAGGACGATGATCAATATGCATATCTAAAACTGTAACCATGCTATTAATGGGAATGACAAATAAAGCCTAGTATGAAGCTTAACAGGGAGTACAGAATACGTCTCTTGAAACGTATCAGAAGTCTTGGTACGCTTTTTTGGTTTCTTAACAATAAGGTCCTTACAGTTTAATTACTCGCAAAAGTATGCATCATTTATAAATAGTCTCTGTAACGCAATAGTTTCGTAAATACCTAGTTACATTAGAAAATTAATTGCAGCATAAATGTTTCATTACACAGCTTGGGAGTAAAGTGAAGAATGTCTAAGATCTTATGATTATTATCTCCTGACATGAAGCCAAAGGTGACTAGTGTGGGTCCGTTTGACTTATTTTCGTGATGTGTACACTATTTTTCGTGATACTGCGTAAAGAAAGTGATACATTTGATTCACACAATGGGATGGAAGTACCTACTTTCGCTCCACAGGCACAAAAAAGTGCATTATGCAACTAGGGGTAAAACTACATCATTGTCTTTAAGAGGCCATCCTTGCCATTGGTTGAGCCATGGGTCTAGAAGTTGATGCTATATTTTACTTCCAAGTCGAATATACGATTTTTTTCTACTGAAAATACGACTTTTTTCCTTTATTTGGGGGTTGAGAATGCAACGTAACTTCCCAGGTAAATTTTGCATTTATTGCTATCCAGAAAAGTCAGTATTCTTGCATTCTCTGTATGCAAATTGCCTCCCAAACCAAAGACAAGGATGGTAAATACGCAAGGAATAGTAAAAAACTTGTCTGTGTGCCTAGAAAAACTAATTTCTCAAAATGACTATGTTTAAACTAGTAAAATTTCAAAACTACTGTACACAAATGATAAATTTTATAATTTTCTCTTTTTAAAGAGTAACTTCTAAATGTTTCTCTTTTTGAAGTAGTAAATTTTCAATAGTATTTTCGGTACTGTTGTTAAAAAATAAAAACATTTTTTTAGTACTTCTAAATATTTTTATTATTATTTCAGTAACCTTCTCAATAAAAATATTAATCGCTCATTAATCATTGATGGTACACTTAAAAACCAAAACTCTTATTATTTTTTATATTCTTCGTTTTAAATGCTACCAATAAGATCGTTACGCATGAACTACCTTAAACTTAAAAATAATACAACACTGAAATTTTAAACTATTTATGTTTAAGTCTAAAGCTTTAGTGAAAAATTTTTTGTTACGATATAATTTAAGATACTGTGTTCAGAAGGGATAAGGGATGACATTTACTCAAATGTGCATTTTCTATTCGAATCTACTTCCTATTACTATTGCTGCAAATAAAAGAATGCCATACTTGTTTGAACCATGAACATTAAAAGATTTGAAATACATTAGTTAAGAGCTTTTCAACTCAGATTTTTTTTTACAGTTTTTTTCAGACAATTAAAAAGAATCACCTATGCAGGAGGTGAAAAATTTTACCAAGAAATGGATCTGTTACCATTTGTTTTACCTTTGCTCAAATGAAGACAAATTGTTTTTGTACACATAATTATTATATAGTGCCGTTTTTGTGAAATACAAAGTTATTTACAAAGTCTTATATTGCATTTAATTTATTTTGTTCACCCTTCACATCAAAAACTTAAAAGTCTTTATAAAAAGATCTTTATGCAGCACCGTGATGATTTATTCTCCCTATTTATATCCATCTTTCTTATTTTCCGGTTCCTCCTCATAATAACTTACTTCATTTACCTGTTCTCAGGATCTGTGAAGCAAACAAAAATTAAGGTATTTTAAATAGTTTCAGAGTGTTATTATTTAAAATACATTAAAGTTTATGTATTTTATTGTAGTGTTACATTATTAAATTTTGTTTACGTCAAAATTTGATACGTTTCTGTTATACACTATCATTAGTGTTCAACGAAAAATTCCAACTACCAAAGGAGTGTTGAAGAACACGATAAGATCATAGTCAGATAATATAAACATAAATAAAAATGCGTATGAAAAAATCTTACGTACTATTGAGGGAGCGTATGTAAACACTTTTCATCAAGTGTATAACATGTAGTGCAACCTAGCCTCCCCCGTTTGTTGATGTCTCATGGACGCTATACCAAGAA